CGTTTATTACTCGCTTTTGCTTCGTCTATGGATTTTAAACTATACCAAATGGATGTTAAGAGTGCCTTCCTCAATGGTTTTATTCAAGAGGAAGTGTATGTTGATCAACCCCCGGGCTTTGAGGATTTTGAGCACCCGGAGTATGTCTATAAACTAAAGAAAGCACTCTACGGTCTTAAACAAGCACCTCGTGCTTGGTATGAACGTTTGAGCAAATTTCTTTTGGACAACGGGTTCAAAAGGGGGAAGGTTGACACTACACTTTTTATCAAGAGTAAAAACGATAACATCCTCTTGGTGCAAGTTTACGTAGATGACATTATATTCGGTGCTACTAACGAATCTTTGTGCAAGGAATTTTCAAACTTAATGACAAATGAATTTGAGATGTCCATGATGGGGGAAGTCAATTTCTTCTTGGGGTTACAAGTCAAACAAATGAGGGAAGGGACCTTCATTTGTCAATCAAAGTATTGCAAGGAGCTCTTAAAGAGATTTGAAATGGATGGCTCCAAAGCAATGGCTACCCCAATGAGCACCTCCGAGCACTTGGAAAAAGATGAAAAGGGTAAGGAAGTAGACGAAAAGAAGTATCGAGGTATGATCGGATCCCTTCTTTATCTTACCGCTAGTAGACCCAATATCATGTTTAGCGTTTGTTTATGTGCAAGGTATCAATCTTGTCCGAAAGAATCGCATTTAACGGCGGTGAAACGGATAATGAAGTATCTTGTTGGTACAATGAATGTTGGACTATGGTACCCCAAGGGGTCTCCTTGTCATCTTTTTGGGTATTCCGACTCGGACTTTGCCGGTTGTAGATTAGACCGTAAGAGTACGAGTGAGACTTGTCACCTGCTTGGTAGTTCTTTAGTCTCATGGTTTAGCAAGAAGCAAGTCAGTGTTGCGTTATCCACAACCGAAGCGGAATATGTTGCCGCCGGTAGTTGTTGTGCTCAAATCCTTTGGATGAAGCAACAAATTGTGGATTATGGCCTTAGTATCGATCACGTCCCTCTTCGATGTGATAATACTAGTGCCATAAGCTTGACGAAGAATCCGGTTCTTCACTCAAGGACGAAACATATTGACATTAGGCATCATTTCATTAGAGATCATATTCTCAAAGGTGATGTCGAAATTGAGTTCGTTGAAACACACAACCAATTAGCCGACATTTTCACAAAACCTTTAGAGAAAGAGTCGTTCTTCCGCATTCGTAGTGAACTCCGAATCCTTGACTCCACGATGATCTAAATTGTGCATTAATTATTATTATTTTTGGTCCCTACTAACTTGAACGCCGGAGACGTTTTCAATTCTTTCTTGCAGGGCTCTTTTTTTATTTTCAGGTGTCAAAGTCAGGGGGAACAAAAGAAATCGATTTCAAGTTCCCAGGACTAAGTGTAAATCGATTTACAACCTTGAGATAATCGATTATCACTGTCCGCAGAAGTTTGGAGCAAATCCATCGCAAAACCTCAACAATCGATTTTCCAAGTCATGATAATCGATTATATAGAGCTGCAGAACTTTATTTGAAGTCAGGCGCAAACCAGCAACAATCGATTATCAACTATAAGATAATCGATTATTTAAGCCTGCAGAAGTTAAAGGCAACTCAGGCGCAAACTACAATAATCGATTTACAACCAGGCAGAAATCGATTATTGAAGCCTGCAGTTCCTTCGGCAGAGAATCTGAAAACCTAGATAATCGATTTACAGGTTATGTAAATCGATTTACAACGGTAGATTTTAAAAAATCTGACCGTTTTCTAGCCGTTTGGAGAGCAATTAATGACTGTTTGACCACCTCTACGAATCTCCAAGGCTTCTACTCTATAAATTGGTGATCTCTATTCATTTTATACTCACTCAAATCATACTTTCTCCATATATTCATCATAATTCATCATTCTTGCTCCTATTCTTCATTTTTTTTCCAAATTTCTGCAATTTTCTCTTTGTCTTGCTCTCCCTCTCTCTCTTTGTTGAAATGGCAGGAGGTCAAAGAAAAAGATCCCGCACCGGCAAGAACGTGGCTTCTTCCTCGGCTCCTCCACCACTAGCGCACAAGTACCTCGACGGGTCGTTCCTTTGGTTCAACGACCGCGAAGAGGCGACGCGGTTCTCCGAAAAGTTTGAGCATCGGGAAATTCTCCCTCCCCGATTCTCCACTGCCCGCTTCATTCATGATTCCATTCCACGTGAGGCACAGATTATCCTCGAACGTGGAAACTTCCTCGATCTCCTTTACATCAAGAAGGTCAATTATCAACCCTTTCTTGTTCGAGCCTTCTACTCGAACTTGAAAAAGGATGAGGACGGAGCTTTGATCTCTAACGTCAACGGGGTGGACATCTATTTGAATGAGGAGAACATTCAAATCCTCACCAGGCTTCGTCGGGATGGACAGGATCTCAGGCTCTACGTTGGAGAAGAAGGAGCACGGTTCAACGAGACCGCTCTCTTGGAGGAAGTGGGCATCCGACACTTCGTATCCACTCCCCAACAGCAGCGCCCTACGATTGCTTCCATGAGTCCCGTGTTTCGATTCATCTTTTATGTTTTGACACGGATTCTCAAACCTAGGAAGTTCAATCACACCACTCTCTCCCAGAAGGACACGAAGACAATTCATGCGATGATTCACAACGACAATCTCAATTGGTGTAAATTTGTGATGACTCACATGTTCACGGCCACCTCCGACAATCGGCCACTCCCCTACGCCCTCATTGTCATGGCAATTCTTGAAGAATATAACATCAAAACCGATGTTGGGCCAAAGATAAAGGGGACAAAGCATTGGGAGATTGATGAATCCTCTTTCCACTCTGGCACCGACGAGACTCCGTTTCGACAGCCTCGTCCACGCCGCCAACCGAGAGCCACTGCCTCAGCCGCCACCACTTCGACCAATCCTTCTCTCGCCGAGCAAATGGCAGCCTTTGTTGGAACACACTTTGCACGTTAAACTAAAGTCGTGTTCATTTCTGACAGGTTTTGATAATTGCCAAACCGCCGTGGATATGAAGAGTTTCGTTGAATAACTCAAGGCGTGAAGAATGGCTTGGAACAAGACCTAAAAGACTCAAGGACAAGATCAATAATTGAAGACTTAGTCGAGTCGGTCTTTTGTGATCAAAACCGACAATTTATTCAAGTCTCGATTCTCAAAAAGTCAAAACAATTTTTACAAACCATAAAACATTTTTTGTGCATCAAAACAAACATTTTTTGATGACTTCTTTTATTATTAAAAATCCCTGGTCCTTGCTCAGAACCAAAACCACCTAAGTCGGCGTTCGGCTTTCGTCGTTCGGTTTTCGGCGTTCGGTTTTTTTGGCGCCCAAACCAACTCCATGGTTTTCAATATTTTAAACCCTGTTTTTATCTCTGAGTATATTTTAAAGGTTCCCGAATAATTATCTTGTAAAAACCACTTTTGTATCTTGGTCAATCAGTCTAACACGTGAAAAACGGTCAAAACCGTACGCACGTGATTTACGACCTTGAGGACTTGGTTTTTACCAAACAAGTCTTGTTTTCACTATTTTATACCATATACAATGTTTTTCAAACTTGGTTTTTACTTTTGGGAATGCTTCGTTTTTGGACCTCGGTTTTTCAAAACGGGTTTCAGCTGGCTAGACTTTAGCTGGGTGATAATCGATTATCACCTTAGTGACAATCGACTATCAGCAACTGCAGCTTTGAACTTCCAAGTTCTGAAGCACTAAATAATCGATTATCAGATTTGTAATAATCGATTATCAGCCTTGCAGCCAAAACCCAGAATCTTCAGAGAGGACCAATAATCGATTATCACTTGTTGACAATCGATTATCTGGGTTACCGTTGTCCTCCAACGGATAGAATTTTAAATTTTTGGACAGAGAATCTTTGGATAATCGATTATCATGGTTTGACAATCGACTATCAGCCTGTGTCCCTGAAAAATTTGTCTTCATCCTGTTGGAAATTCTAGCAACGGGTTTATCCCATTTTGGGCTATAAAAGGGCACCCAAATCCTCTCTTTTAACACACAATTCTTCAACATTTCAATACTCATTCATTGCATAAGCATTTCTACTTTTCTTAGCTATTTGAGAGCCAATTCTTGAAGAAATTGTCGTGTTCTTGAGCGTTTACTAGTTCACTCATATCTACTCTTTGTGAGAGTTTTATTCCTGAGTG